AGTATCGCTTAAAACTTTTCGCTGACATCCTGATAGATAACTGAGTAATTGCGGCTTCCCTGCCGTTACCATCATCAGCGTTTGTGAGAGCAAGGGATTTTTTCCGTGATTCTCAAGGATTTCCATACCCGGTGAAGTTTTTAGCATTCGCCCTTACAGATTTCGCTATCGTCCGAAGCTTTATGGAGTCACTCCTATGAATTTCTTTGTGAACCTGAAGTTTTCGCCGCCACCCTGCCAAATTGATGGAAGGCACGAAATATTGCATACTGACTTCGAAACGCGACATATGATGCAAAGTTTTCGATCTGATTTTCACTCATAGTTGTTGAGAACAACGTTCTTTCGTCAATGATTTACGCATTGTCTTATGGCTCGAAATGATTGGCCATTTATGTTTCGCATTTCTGTGAGTGGTTAATTTTGGTCCTCTAACTTTGTTACATCAGTAAGTGAAGCGAATCTTCCTGACCTCACCGTAACGGACTTTGCTGTGATTGGAAGTTTTTCCACTGTTACTCCTATCAACATTCAAATTTTACCATTGTGTTCGTGTCCTCTTTATACGTAGTCTTATTAAAGTCGTCAGCGCATTATATTCATTTTTGCCTTCTTATGTCTTTAATAACTGAAAATTAATGAATAGAATGGGAGAAAAGAAGAAGTAAAATATTCGCAGTTTCTTTGCTCAAAGTAAATAACAGTCAATATAATTTCTTTTGTATGTCGAACCTTCCTAAAAAATTACTTACTAGGATTAAATTATTAAAGTTACCAAGTTCTTCGTAATTTGAATAATGTGTTGCTGTTGATTAGAATATTTTCTGTATCTCACACCGTAGACTTGTTTTTTTTTAATGATTCGTATCTTGCTTTTGCAGCGTGTTAGGCGCTTATCTTCCGTTACTGTTTGTGTTTATCTCTTTTTTTTTCGTTTTTTTTATAAATTCTTATCAAATAAGTGCTCTATGAGAAGGACTGTACACAACAACAAGAAAACATTCACTGAAAGATAAGACGACGAGTGACGACAAAGAAGCAAAAAAATCTCATAGTTACTTAATGATATTCATTTCATATGGAGTGCACAAATCGATATTGATTTCTGTATAATGTGATGTGATTGGAATCGTTCAAAATTAGACAATGACCAGTAAGGAGACATTTTATTGCATCTTCATTCGATAATTCGATTGCTGATAGTTAAAATAGCACGATTGTTCTGGAAAGATGTTGTCGCATTTAATTTCATGTTGAAATAAATAAAACTTATATTATCAGGAACATGAGACAATTTTCCTTTCAGACAATACAAAAGTTGATAATTTTTACTTTAATTCATTTTTCAATTTAAATAGATATTTTATATGATTTGACGTCTCATCTTATCTCTCAATAAACAAGAGGAAAAAGAATAGCATTTAGCTTGTTCATTTGAACTTGAACTTCAAAAATATTTACATGCAAAAAGAAATATTTCGAACAAAGATTGGTTTATTTTTTTATCTAAATCTTATGAGAAAAACCAATCTTTTAAGATAGTCTAATATAAATTGAAAAATCGAAATGGCGGGTGTGGGTTTAAACAAAAACTTCAGACACCCATACTCACACCCGCACACCCAAGAAAAACAAGAAATTCTGAAATTTTCACATGCAGAGAAGAGAAATACTGAAACTTTCACATTGAGTATATATCTGCTTATTCTAGGAAGGAAGAAAAGTAAAAAGAGTCAAAAAGTGGGAATATGAGCCTTCAATTTACCAATACTCTTAGACTCAGATGTGATTAACCATAATACTTTCGGTAAGAAGTATACGCAACGTTTTCATAAAATATATCATCATGAAAAATTTGATATTATTATTTTTTTTGTGCTATTTATAAAGGCAGATTATTCACCGGTACACTTCATTTCTCTTCTCTTCTTTTCTCAACATGATTTATTCATAATGTTGACCTTGACAAACTGTGTTTTTCTTTCTTTTTCCTTGTGTGACTAGTATATAAGCATGTATTCGTATCAATATTGATACAACTGGAGTGATGAAGTAGTTCAAATAAATATCATTATCGACGGTAGCAATAGAGCTATTACTCGAGTTCGTCACACTAAATAAATTAACATTCGTTCAATAATATCAACATTAAGTGGTAAGTACTGAAAAGGAAAAATTTGTGAGAAGAATTTTCAACAATTAATATTCTTTATCATATCCTTGCAAGTTTAGATCAAAAAGGATTAAGTGTTCTTTATTTATCGAAAGTAAACGTAAGTGAATGATAAGAATCCAGAGTTTGTCTTTCTTACATTTATATTTATTCATATATTTACGGCGAATCATTGAAAGTAAAGTTCTGATTCAACTAACGAGGGAAGCTTCCCAACTGTCCAATCGCTTTTGAGTCGAAACCATGTGCATCATGTAGGTCCTAATGAGCTATGAATACCCTGAAAAGAGTTCGAGCTGCTAGCTTATTACTGTCGAGATACTACATTTTTACGATTTTGTTAAGCAGAATGCCGTGGTTCCCCTCAGAAGCACTAGCAAAACTGAGTTTTGAATTTCGACTTCAAATTTGGCACAGAAACAGACCTCAATGAGAGTAGCTTATTGTGAAAGTTTCAGATCTTTTGGTTGTTCCTATTCTGAAATAAGAACATCGGAATCTGTCGGAGATATATAAGCAGTGTAAAAACACCCTTTTTAGCTGCATCTTAGGATAGGAATGACCAAAATGCCTGAAACTTTCACAATAAACTACTCTCACTGACGTCTGCTTCTGTGCAAAGTTTGAAGTCAAAACTCAAAATTCAGTTTTTCTGGTTCTTGAGGGGGACCACGGCATTGTGCTTAATTAAAAATACCATAAAAATGTAGTATCTCAACAATAATAAGCTAGCAGCCCGAACTCTTTTCAGGGTATTCATAGCTCATTAGGACCCACATGACGCACATGGTTTCGACTCAAACGCGATTGAACAGTTGGGAACTTTCCTCGTAAGTGCTATTAATTCAACATTCAATATGAGACGTCAGTCAATAATATGACCCTGTTACGTTTTCATCAGACTTAAAATGTTATTGAATCAAATACAATACTTCATTAAATATAAAGAATAAAAAGAAAATTTTCTCACAAAAATATATACAAATGTTGAATGTCAACAACAATGTATAAGCATATCATTTAGAAGCCAGTCTCTATCCTCATGTGATATCGATCAAATAAAATCTATTTATTATTGTTTAAACAATTGTCTAAAAACTATCTGAATAATAGCTCTTTAAAATAAAATTCCTTCCAGTAGAATTATCTATTATCAGACAATCAATGACTTCAATATATTTTTTATAGAAGATTGATAAACTTTCCATGATTATAAAAAAAGAAGAGCAGGTTAAAGTAGCAGATCATTTATATTTTGAATAATAAAAAGATGTGATGATTCAAAATAGGATATTCTGGATTATTGCTTCAATACTTGATATGGTAATAGAAGTTCAAAATATGAGATTCTTAATTATTGATGCAGTACTTGATATAGATTCAACGGCAGATTACTTTCGGGGTATCTCGAGTTGCTTCCCAGACTGTTGTTGAGATATTTGCTCCGCTTCTTGCTTTATCATCGCTTGTTGAATATGCATTAGTAGGCCAGGATTGAGACTCAAAGCATACGGCAATAAGCTTTTCTGTATTTCTTCAAAATCAACTATAATTTTGATGAACATTGTGTCGTCTCGGACATATGAATTTCCTTCCTATCTAATCTTATCCAATGAGAAAAATTTAGGTATTCCACTGGGCTATATTCATATCCGATCGAGGTCGTTGAAAACTATTCGACCTTATATCTGGTCGGAATGAATCGATAATATGTCGTTGTGCAGGTGTTTGATCGTATAAACAAACTGAGACTTTGTAGTTGAATCATCACCATTTAAATAAAGACGAGCTCTCATTTTATAGCCAGTAGGTGATGAATAGAATGGAGGTGAATATAAATTGATGTTTGCCTTTCAGATTGTGCATCAACTAGAAATTAAGCTTAAACCCTTGTCAGTGCAGTCTCTTTGAAGCAAAATATGGAAAACTCACATATTTTTTTTCAGCTTCATTATATTAATGTCAAATAGGTCAAGTAAATCTTGAATATAATCGGAAATCTGCATAAAAATTAAAAAAAACTACACTATCTAGAATACTCAGAAAAGTATTGACACCATTACAATTTCAAGTAAAATTTTGAAATATTCTCGAACAATCTAAGTCTTATTGTTAATGCCAATCAATATCTTTTTTTTCTTACTAAGAAATTATAGGAAAGAAGTCTGCTGTCTTGGATTGCTTTGGAAACGTATTCACTAATCATAATTTCGGTTGCTAAAGTCTATTGCGAGCACCTTTGCCAGCATTGCTATGACCGTCAGAAGCGTTAAAAATCATCGACCAATACTCTCATTGTCACCCATTGATTCGGGTTACTACTTTTGGATTCGGATGTTCGAGCGAAAAACCTTGCCTTACAACTTACGCTCACTATTTTCCTTAGTAAAATATATGAGTTCCACGAAAAATCGGTGAAGAAGAGTAGCTGCAAGTATAAAGAAATTTAGCCGATCGATAGAATTGATAATTGCTTCCATCAATTCATCAATAGCTTACTCATTCATTGTATTCATGCGTGACAATATACTATGTTGAATGTAACGTTGAATCGTTTGTGTTATTCAATAATATTATAGAAAAGAAGAACATCTTTTTCTTTGATTATCTTGTCGATAGCATATTTTGATTTCTATCTTCAAGCATAAGACTAATTGTTCAACTTACTTATTTTCTCATGAAAGTTTTTTATTTTTCAAACCAATGTTTCACCATATGAAACATATTGCAAATCATTGATTTTTTCTTGCAAGGATACAAAGTCTTGATTAAGAATGTCTTGATTCTGTTTCACTCCCTGCAAAAATGCATTTGATTCTTCAACAGATTATTTTAATTTCGATGATTCTTCTTTCAATATTGTAAGTGTAATTTGCATTTGGAGTGATTCATTACTTAGACGTTGTTCATTATTGACCAATGCTTCGATGCCACCTGCCAAGATATTCAACATTTCATGAACTTCTTCAAATTGAGCTGTAGCAGGAATACAAGCTCCTGCAGTTGTTGTTCGAGGAAGATCAATATTCATTTGTCTATCATTGAATTGTGATGAAATTTGACGAATAAGTTTAAATATGGCCTGTTGATGCTGTTCAGCCAAATAATGATTCTCCTTTTTGGCACGAATAAACTTAAGAACACGAACTTTTCGATGTTAAATGCATCTAAAAAATACTCATACTCGTTCATTACTGTCAAGGCCTTTCAATATACATTCAACAATCAATTTTGAACATTCGGAGACTTTATGTTTATTGAATTTATCAAGTGAGTTGAAATGTTCACCACAATATTCACAGTTTAAATTTGAATGAAATTGATCGAGATGTTTCTTTGAAACAAGAAAAGATAGAAGATTTCATTTCATTTGTGAAACCTTGATCAAGCATCATCTACACAGAAGAAATATATTTTCTCTTTGATTATGAAAGGATATTTTACTTGAATTCGTGATGTTTCTGCTTGACATTATCGACATTTAATTGTCGTTCTTGAAAAAGAACAATGAAGAATAATACTAACACTTCAAATGGATAATGAAACTTATTCTTGTTCAGCATTTAAACATTTTTGACATAGCCGATACCACATTCAGTCAATTGTACAGGCTCTCGTAATATCAATGAACATACAGGACAAATATATTTTCTATCAAGCATATGTTTATTTCTTGCATTGATGTCTATCATTATTTTAATTATTTTTTGTTAGTCAATATATAAATAAAAAAATATTTTTGGAAAACGTGAAAACTAATTAAAGTGGATTGGTATCCTAATAAGTGATCAAAGAATGATTATCCTTCGATTTAAACGATTTTGTGATTAAAATATCTAAAATTGAAAAAGTCATATTAAAATATGATAAGGATTTCAAATTTTCAAAGTAACAAAATAGCGAAGGCTTCGCAATAGATCCATTCACTTTTACTAGATCAAGTCTTGAATTTATTGTAAATATGTTGATGAAATTTTGATTGTAAATGATATTATCATTGATGAAGATCAATTGAACATGAAGAGGCACATCACGGACTTTCTTTAAATTCAGTTGAGTTATATTTAAAATATGATTGAATTATACACGCTCATTCAACCTATGACAATGGTTTATATTTTGACTTACTTCATAATAACATTACTTATATTGAGATTTTTTCCATATCTATTTCGAACAGGATGAGTGTGGGTGTGTGTGCGCGTATTGGTATGAATCGGTGAAGAAAAGTTTTACACCCACACTCTTGATGAATATAAAGCTTTAAATCATTTAGTTTTTCATGAAATACTCATTAGCATATGGTAGGATCCTCTATCGGAAATAGGCAGTGAAACACGAAACTTATACTCGTAACAATCAATTTTAAATATTTGTAGTTCGTTTTTATACACGCAATAGACGCACAAAACTTTTTCTCCAAATAATCAATTTTTATTTGAGATGATGACGGCAGAAGAACAACAAAAACATGGAAGTTACCCGACTGTTAACTGTTGGAAAATTTCCCGAATCAATCATAGGATGAAAATCTGCGTGTTTTATAAGCATCCACCTATTTTTGGAATAATCATTTTAGTAAAAAAACAATAAGAAATAAAAAATTTAACAAAAATATTTTTATTACACATAGAGATTCTCCGTATGAGTTCGAAATAGTTTTTTTTTTACTAGGTATGTGTGTGGAAATGCAGATGACTGTCAGAAAAGGCAAAACCAACACTAAAACCCAAAATTAAACTTAGATAGAATTCGTTTTTAATTAGGCATAAACATACAGAATAATTTTATTTTTCATTTAAAAATTCTCATTTTTGTTTACATTAAGAAAACATACCATGTATCTATGTTTTTTTTGATTAGACAGAATATTCATTTTCACTTATTCATACTGTAATGTATGCACAAATGACTTCTTCTGCATCGACATCGAAAATGATTTTCGAACAGCGGTGTAATCAGGATTTTTACGCCAATGAGGAAACTTCTTTTGTGTCGAAAAAAACCGATGGGCGAAATGGGCAAAGTTGAGTGTGGGTGTAGATTGAGAGACGATCCACACCCTCGCCCACATTAGAGATATTCCATGAGAACTCAACCACAAAATACACAAGTATTTTCGAATCGATGAAATTTCCAGGATTTGTAAGTCATAGTGGGCTATTAAGATCTCCAACATCAATTTTTTAAATTTCATTAATAAATAGGAACATGTCGAGTAGAACATTTTTTATGTATAATCACGCAAATTAGATTTGAAGGTGAGGATTCAGGTGAGAATGATAGTTTTTTTAGATGAAACTGAGTGTTAATAATGAATACCTATTCAGGAATACTTGTTTATTGAGTATTCGAGATTAAATAAGCATCGAAAAAATTCCAAACAACATCCGAAAAGATTAGGAATTATATTGATAATGAGTCAATTTCATACGCTTGTGACCAGTTTTCATTTCTGCTGGCTTATCGGTATTCTTCTCGAACGTTATCTGAAGTGATTGATAATTGTCACTTATGGTAAACTATCGTTCTTTTTCAATGAGCCGTTGAGTCATTTCCATGAAGAAATTTGATGACCTTGGATGTTGTACAAATGTGACACTGGTCAAATGATTGACACGTTCGAGAACTCATTTCATACTGTCAATACTCTTCGTTTTTAGTTTTCAATGGTCTATTTGAAAGGATACTACAGAACATATTCAGCCCATCAATGGCGCCAAATCATCATCATAGAATAGACCGAGAGTGCGAACATTGCATGCTTGTTTGAGCAAAATATTGATCGTGCGAATGCAAAAAGGACGATTTTTTGAGACGAACAACCAGATTTCATCAAGTTGTGAAAGATCGATAAGTAACGGAAGACAGTCGAATGCATGAGACCACCATTTACCGCCGATGTCTACTGCCAGTTGAGAGATATGACGAATCTGGTGAATTGGTGGTAGAAACTAAAATAACAGATAGAAATGTAGTGCTTTCATGTTTTGCTTCAGTTCAATCTGATTCCTACCAAAACTATGTTCTCTGAAGATTCGGATAGACTACGACTATTTCTACCTTTTCACCCTTTGATGGTTGTGAATCATTTTTACTTGATAGCTATGAGAAGTTGTCCAAATCATGCATCATTCTTTCCACTTAAGACGTAGATTCCTATACAATGATTAGAGAGACAGAGAGAACTTTCTACGGAAAGGGTGGGTGTAGGTGTGGGTGTGGATGTGGTTGTAGGTCATCTCTTCACTCACACCCACACCTTCAGTTGCAGCCATTTTTCAGTAATACCATCATAGTATGTTTATCCCTTCCCACGAAATTCCCAGTCACATTATTTTAATATTCCGATTCTCGTCTATGGACTGACGAAAAGTGATGAATCAAATGGGATAAAAAGGAGCAAACTAATCATGTAAAATAGTGACAACTTCGCAGAATAGAAGAATTAGTCCATTTCGACCGACAATGTGTTTCGCAGACTCCTATACAACCGAGTCATTTCATATACGATCAGTTGTATATAGTATTTTGTTATAATTAATTCGTTTATTAGCAAACCAATTGGTCATCATCTGAGTTGGGAGGACATGGGTGTGGGTTTGAGTATCAATGTAAAGAGGAAAACACCCACACACCCACATTGGAGTCGACGAAACGTATTGTCAGCAAAAAAGGTTTTGGCGAAAATAAAAATTACGACGTAGAAATCCTTGCAATCATTGAACTTGTGTGTGATCGATGCAACCAAGTAAATTCACTAGGCTGCTGATTGACGAGCGATTATCAATCGATTGAGTGAACGGAAGTTGGTTATGGGTATCGATTTCATATCTGTCAATATCCTTTCTAATCAATATTTCAATTATATATTAGCTCTGTTTATGACGTTTAAAATAGTCTTTCTAGTCTTAGAAATCCTTCCAATAAGTTACTCATCAAAATCAAGTAATCAAAAGCAACTATACCAAGTAAATTTCAGCGATGATTGATTGCAACTTCGTTGGGTGTTGTGTATATCACAAGCGTCTGTTTTTTGTCGAATGATTCATTTGTTAGTTTTGCCTCATAGCAACACTTTACGCTCCATTTTTGTTTGTTTTTGCCTCCTTTTTTTACGTTTTTCTTTTTGAATTCTTTTCGACTACATATTCTATTGAGAAGAACTGCACATAACAACAGTAACACATTCAAGGTAAAGAACGCAAAACTATTGATTATAAACAAGAAAAAAGATTCATATTTATAACAAGAAACTCAGTTTCGTATTCGTAGGGACCATAAACACCTATTTTTATTGTAAGTATAATATGTATGAGTTGGCATCGTTCAACAATATGCAATGGTTAACAGTCGTAAACTTTATTGAGTACCTATGAGAAGATCTGATTATCGAGCGCTAGTGGAATATAGTTTTTCTATAATTGGTTTCGCATTTTATTTTATTCATAGATAGATGAGACTTAGATGATTATAAACATTTGACAACTGTTCTCTAAGTTGATAGCAAATTGATAATTTTCAATATAATTAGTACTTTTCGAATTGAATTCATATTTTAGAAGATCTGACACATTCATCTTATTTCTTCAATAGAAAAAAACATAAAAAGAAAAAAGTTTTCCTAGTGTTTATTTGAACTTCCAATTCAAAAATCATTTATATTATTAAAAAAAAGAATATGTTCAAAAAATTTGGGTTATTTACTAAGTAATGTATGCGAGAACAAACGAATTTTTTAAGATAGTCCAATATGAATATTAAAATCAAAATTGAGAGTATATTATTCTGAATCCCAGTGAACATAATTATAAGATCTTATTGAATACATTTTGTTAACTACGAAAGAAGATGAAAGATTTTTTAAACAAACGTGTCAATTCAAACATATCATCAAGTTGTTTTTTTTGATAGTATCTCGGAAACATAAGAAGCTGATATGAATGAAATACAAATTGAAACTCAATCTTCAACGGTTTTATCATAAGTCTGTTAGATAATATAGAGAAGTACGCAAGATGAATCGAAAATTCTTTAATTGAAAAGAAAATTGAATATCCTCACAAACATTCAAACTGCGCTGTCATGTCATATCCTCAGATACCAAAGCCAAACTAAAGACAATTTCCGAATGCCAACACTTGAAAACTAGCATTAGTTTTCGTGCATATTTATGTCATTATTTTGAGATTGTCAATCATCAAAAATTGATCTTTATACGAAAAACGTATGATATTCAGAATCACAGTGTGAAAACAGACTGGAAATATGATATTTTGTCGCAAAACATTTCCCATGACAATTTAACATGCTGAGACATCGCAAGTGAACTTGTACTAATAAAAGCTCGAGAGAAAGTAGCGATCAAACTTTGATGAACATATTGTATGACGAAATAGAGAAGGATGTCGACATGAGTGAAGCTAGCAATATGTATAAACTAAAAAAAAGAATTTGTCATATGCCAATTGTTGATCTTATTTTAACTTCTTCAATTCATGGAGAAATATATATCTTGAATTTTGTTTTGTCACATTCAGAATTCGCCGAATTCAAACATGCTCCATAACATTAACAAGAAAAGTTTTGTACTATTAATACGTGCATTACGAGAATTATGTTTATAATAGATGTATATCAATGGAAAAGAAATCTTAGGTAATATGTTTTCAACAGAAACTGATGTTGAACCCTTGATACTATCAACAGTTACTCTAAATGATACATTGACGACGATAAATATTATTAGGACAAATTAGTGATTGTAAAATTCATCTATCAACGATTTCTGCTCGTATGTATGTTTACATACAGTTGACAAATAAACGAAACGTCTCGTTTGCATTTTTCAAAACATGCTCTTAGTTTCAAATTTTCTTATAAATAACGAACACTCATATAATAGGCATGAATCTTATTTTTGCTATTTTTTCATGCATTGATAAACAACATGGGTTCTACAAATCGACAGCGATGTTGAAGACGTGAACTCTTTGTTTTTAATTCAAAAATAACGAAAAAAACATCGCCATTGTAATGCATGTGTGATACTTTTGTGCAAACACAAGAGTTTATTCCACGAATAAAAAATTGCCCATAACGTTGATTACATTATGGTTCTGCTGGATTTCTTCTGAGGGGTGCAACAAAAAAAGTACGTTAACAAAGAATAAACAAACGAAAGAAATACACACACTAATGCATTTTTATTATTGTTACCATCGTTTTTTTTCTTCCGTTCGTATCTGTATAGTGAGTGACGATATGAAGGTAGCGAGTGTAAATAAAGAAATGTAAAAAAAGATCCAGTCTGCACTTTTTTTTTGTTTCAGTGGGATTCTATCCCATCAAGAGCTTTTTGCTACTGTCTGTCGCTATACTATTGTTGAGTTGATAAGTTTAGATGAATAAAAATTGTTCATACATTACATTCATTTCGTTTCTCTTCATGGTTCTTGATGTACAACTACATAATATCGCTAAAATCTATGTATTAAGTATGATTAAGATTATGCTCAAAA